AGGATGGCAGGACGGATTGGTGAACGTGAGCCTGGCTCACCAAGGGAAAGCTTGGGGTCTGTATCCCGGACAGCGGATCGCCCCGCCTAGACAAAGGCAAGGGAAAGTTGCACGGTGACGACGCGTGCCACAAAATCAACACGGCCCACGCGGCCCGTGTGCGGAACCAGCAAGGTGCCACTTCAGCCGCTAAAGATCCCCGGGATGAGGTTATCGCCCAGCTCGAGCGAAGGCTCGCTCAGATGGAGGCCAAGCACCTGGTCCCCACTCCCATAGGCAACTCATCTAGGGATCTCGGCTTCAACGCCCTCCTGCACAAGGTCAACGTCCTAGAGAGAGAGTTCACCGAAGGATGAGGTGACCCCATCGTCCAAATCAGGACGAAGACTCCCTTCCCTACAAGGTTACTCTCGGCCCCTATTCCCGAGAAATACCGAGGCAAGCCCATGAAACCCTATGACGGCCGCACCGATCCCCAGGAGCATTTCAGCCGCTATCAGAATAACATGCTGATGGTGAATGCGTCGGATGAATTCCTTTGTCGTTGGTTCCTTTCCACTCTCGAGGGACCAACGTATGAATGGTTCAACGTGCTTCCCGAAGGAAGCATAGACTCATGGAAGGATCTTGCCCAACTCTTCCTCACCCACTTTGCTGGGAGGAAATGCGTAAAGAAGTATTTCACCCATCTCCTCTCAGTCAAGCAGCAGCACGACGAATCACTCCGCTCTTTCATCGACCGGTGGACGAGGGAGACCGATGAGGTCGAAGGGGCCAATGAGCGTACCCTCCTTGTCTTTTTTCAGGGCGCTCTCCGGAGCACCCCATACGCAAGGAGCCTCATCATCGACCCGCTGAGGTCATACACGAAGGCGCTCCAGCGAGGGAACTTATACGCTGACGCCGACGAGCTCCACAATCACAAGAAGGATGGAGGGCACCCCTCCAAAAAAAACTCCTAGCGCACCCCTGGCTGGAGACCGAGGACAGGGAGAACAGAACCGCCAAAGGTCTGGCGGGAAAAACAAGAAGGAGCGCCCATGGCGTCCAAGGATGGAAAGGCCGAGGACCCCCCTCACACACTCGGTCAGCTCCATCCTCAACTATGCCGAAGAGCATGATCTCATTGAGAAGGATCCTCGCTCGGCAAAGGAAATATATGTCGTCCATCAGGGTGGTACCTACTGCCGTTACCACAAGAACACCTCCCACAACGTAGACAATTGCGTCACGCTGAAGAGAGTCATCGAGCGGCTGATTCGCCAAGGGGAACTCTCCCAATTTGTTAAAGGTGGCTCACACAAAAATACGTGGGTAAACACCAACAAAAATGGGGGCGAACCCTCTACAAAGAAGCGTGAGATCGGCACACTCAGTGACGATGACTTCGAGGAGCCCCATCCGAAGAAGAATCACATCCACCTCATTGTGGGAGGCAACACTGGGGAGGACTCAGCCACCCAGAGAAAGAAATGCGCCCAATCCCTTTACATTGGGGAGGTGTCCCACATCCCCCCCCCCAGCCAAAGAAGCAGCGGACGGATGCGATCACCTTCACCGACAAGGATCTACCTCCAGGTACCGCGTCACATAGGGACGCCCACGTTATCCGATGTGAGATAGGCAACTCTATCATCCATCGCACTTACATCGATACGAGGAGCTCTGTCAATTTCATGTACCTTGACACTTTCAAGCAAGTGAAGTTGGACAGGGCATTGCTCAAGCCGATCCGGACACCGCTGTCCGGTTTCACCGGGGACTCTATCGACGCTGAGGGAACGATAGACCTTCCCGTGGTAGTCAGTGACGGCTCCCATCGCACCAAAATTGACATGGAGTTCATGGTGGTCAACCTCGAGTGCGCCCACAACCTGATCTAGGGGGTGGCCAGCACTAGAGGACCTAGAGGCCATCATCGCCGTGAAACACTTATGCTTGAAGTTCCCCACCTCGAGTGGCATTGGCTACGCCAGGGGGAACCAGAGGATAGCAAGGGCATGTTACCTCAAGCTGATGAAGCCGGTCGCAAGCGCCGAGCAGAGGATAGACACCATCACCGCGACTATCGCGAAGGACGAAGAGAGGCCACATGCTGAGCCAATCAAGGACGTCGAAGAGGACCCCTTGGATGCCTCTCGGCCGGAGCGAGTCCTAAAAATTGGGAAGCAACTCCCACAGGACCAACGCGATGGCATCCTCCTGGTCCTACGGTCATACACAATCATTTTTGCTTGGGGGCCGGATGACATGCCAGGCATTAGCCGGAAGGTGATCCCTCACCGGCTGTTAGTCGATCCAGCTTCCACGCCAGTCAAGCAGAAGCGGCGCTACCTCTCGGCCGAAAGACGGGACTTCCTCAAAGGGGAGATCACCATGCTCCTCTCCATCAGCCACGTCAAGGAGGTGAAGTACCTAACATGGTTAGCCAACGTTGTTCTCACCCAGAAGCCGCCGACATTCAAAATGTGCGTTGACTACACTGATCTGAACAAGGCATGCCCCATGGACCCGTTCCCTCTCCCCAACATTGATCAGTTGGTGGATGAGACGGTGGGCTGTGAGTTGATGTCATTCTTGGATGCCTTCAGAGGGTACCACCAGATCTTCATGCATGAAGATGATGCCAAGAAGACGACCTTCATGACCCTGGAGGGAATTTTTTTCTACCTCGTCATGGCCTTTGGGCTTAAAAATTCAGGCGCCACATACACCAGGATGGTAGCCAAAATCTTCAGAGCAGTCCTCGGCCAGACGATGGAGGCATACGTCGACGACATGATCGTCAAGGGCAAACGTGCTACCACCCATGCCGACGACCTCCGGGAAAGTTTTGAGAGCATGAAGAAGTTTCAGCTCCGCCTCAACCCCAAGAAATGCACCTCTGCCAAGAGCCGCTGGCAACAACCGCTACATCATCGTCGCAGTCGAAGCAGAACCTTTGGCTAGCATCACAGGGGCCAGGTGCCAGAAGTTTGTCCACAAGAACATTCTTACTCGCTTCGATGTTCCCCAAGAGATCATATCCGACAACGGCACCCAATTCGAGGCCACACCCTTCTAAGAGCTCCTCCAGGAATGGGGTATCAGGCATCACTTCTCCTCCTTTGCTTACCCTCAAGGTAACGGGCAAGTCGAGAACGCCAACAGAACCATACTGGAGGACCTGAAGAAGAAACTCCGGGACGCAGGTGGCAGTTGGGCCGACGAGCTCCCCAACATTCTGTGGTGCTACCGTACCACGTCGAGGAGGGCGACGAGCGAAACACCCTTTGCCTTATGTTATGGCTTCGAGGCAAAAGCACCCACGGAGGTCACCATACCTAGCCGACGGGTCGAATAGTATGAACCTGAGGCTAACGAAGAGAGCATGAAGATCGACCTCCACTTGATCGAAGAAAGACGCGAGCAAGCCTACATTCGGGCAGAGAACTACTGGCGTCAAGTAAAATCATACTATGACGCCAAGGTACGTTCCCGGAAGTTCCAAGTGGGGGATTACGTCCTCCCTCGGAGGGAGGCGAGCAAGTCGACGGAGGGTGGCAAGCTAGCCTTGAAGTACGAAGGGCCTTACATCGTCAGCGCCGCGGTGAAACCCGGCACCTACAAACTTAGACACCCAAATGAGTCTTGTGTACCACGAACGTGGAATGTACATCACTTGGTGAAGTTCTATCAATAATAAAAAGGAGGCGAAGCCGGCAAAGCCCTCACCTCTTACTTATTGATCGATTACCACCCTCGGCCTCGAGCCACTTATAAATGAAAATTGTGTTCCTCTTACTTTTTGAAAAGTTAAAGAAAAAGATACCACATTATATCGACTCCTTAGAGCGAAACGCTCAGGTATGGCCGACAAAGCACATCGTATCGACCCCTTAAAGCGGAACACTCAGGCATGCCCGACAATGTCCCAAGACGTTGGGCCCGCATACGGCCCGCGTCTTGAAACGGGAAGCTCACCACGTCGTCCTTGCGCTAAATCGCATGACGACAGGCCTGAAATCATGGTTGAGGTGACAAAAATCCCCAAACTCGGGGTTGGGAAATGGCAGCCGTCGGTAACCGACCAAAAGCCTTAGCCCGCGTCATAAATAGACAACGAGACCTCCTCGAGACCATAGGACGATCCAGTAGGACTCCTTACCGGCCAAGGGAATAACAACCCCCTTGTTCGAAGCCTAAAAGAAGGATACCCAATCCTCGCTCAAAGAAGTAAAGAGGAAGAAAATAAAAGAGGGACAGCAGAGGATCGTGCAGTCGCCGGCCTCGAAGCAAAATCCCCACAAATGAAAAGAGGGACAGCCGAGGACCGTGCACTCACCGGCCTCGAAGCGAAATCCCCACAAATGAAAAGAGGGACAGCCGAGGACCGTGCACTCACCGGCCTCGAAGCGAAATCCCCACAAATGAAAAGAGGAACAACCGAGGACCGTGCACTCACCGGTCTCGAATGAAATCCCCACAAATAAAAAGAGGGACAGCCGAGGACCGTGCGCTCACCGGCCTCGTACGAAATCCCCACAAATGAAAAGAGGGACAACCGAGGACCGTGCACTCGCCGGCCTCGAGCGATAAAAATAAAATCCCCGCACAATTCGACTAAGTACATATCAGTTAAATATAAAGCAAGTGTTACGCAACATGGACGAAGCGTGCTCATGCGGGCCAACCAGACAAACACCCTCAGGATCATTAAACACGATCCCCTATCCAAGCCTGGTCCTAGATAGATATTGGACGAAGCATGCACGCACAAACTACTCCAAAGCATTTGGAAAAAATTCTCATGTGGCGTCCAGAGTGGCCGACGAAGGTCACAGGTAGATAACACGGACTCAAAGGATTCGAGAGGATGCCCCCACTTTGGCAGAACAAGGGTCGGCACCCTCATCGGCCACAAGAAGGGAAACAACTACCTGGTCTCAGCTAACACTTGGAAATATTTCAAAATATGGAATAACAAAAGCAACACAATGACAAAATAAACACTAAAGCTAGGAAAGCCAACCACATATTTGCATTCAAAAATCTGAAGTACAAAAGGGGGCACTACAGCCATTACATATTGAGCGTAGAAATAAAAGAAAGGGGATCAAGCTTCTTCCTCGTCGCCTTCTTGAATAGGCGTATCACTACCTTCAACGGCCGCGGAAGAAGCGGTGTCCAGGAATACGTCATCATCATCCCAATCATCCTCGCCGATGCCCGAGATTTAGATGGGGGATTGCCTCTCCTCGACGGGGAGCTTGATCTCATCCTCCGGATCCCTCATCTTCTGCGGCAGCTTTAGCTGATGAGCGAACTTCTTCGTCAGCTTCAACTCCAGACATATACGGCGTAACCTCCAGTAGATTAGCTACTGCATTCCTTGTTGGCCGAGGTCATAGTACACCTTCATTTCCCTTTCGAAGTACTCTTGGCCTTCAGGGCTATGCTGGCCCCAATCTTCGAGCCTGGCCGCCACAACCTCAAAACTCCAAGGCCGATGCTCCTCAGCTTTCCGGCCGTCGGCCAAGAACTTCTCAATGGCAACGTCGGCAGCCTGCTCGGCCTCAGCTCTGGCCTTCTTGGCCTCAACAGCACGGAGATGAACAGCCTCATGTGCCTCCTTCTCCTCGGCGAGCTTCTTCAGGGCATCGTCCCTATCGGCAGTCACTTGACGAATGGCCGCATCGGCCTTGTCAGCTTTCTTTTTCAGGGCCTCCACATCGCCCCGTAGCCAATCCAGGCAACTCAAGGCCTCATCGGCAGAGGCAACCCTTTGCTCAATTTCCTTCAGTCGGACTATCTCCCGCTGCTGCCTCTTGTTGCTCTCCATAAGCATGAAGGCAGCCTGCAAACAACAAAATGGTTAGGACAACGGTGACACCTGCAAGCATATAAATCAAGAAAATAACAAAGTACATAGCCAACTCACTTGGACGAGGTGGTCCATTCCACTGTCATAGATCTTGACATTACCGAGCCCGTTGAGATAAGCCCGGTCCTCGTCTGGGACAGCCTGGGAGATCACCTCGTGGTCGTCAATGATCTCGTTGAACACACCGCCCTTGACGGGGTATTCAACCTCCAGCTTGTAGGTCCCTCTGACCAACTCGTTGCTGGACCTCTTCTTCCGGGAGTCTTGGACAATAGGGGAGGTTGAGAGACAGCAGTGGATGAAGGACCGGGTGTCACGTCCACTATACCAGCAGCACTGGAACCTCCAACGTCTCCAGCCGGAACAGTCATGGCCCCAGCATCACCATCGGCCAAGGGAGAAGTCTTCTTCGACTTCTTGGAGGGCTGCAAACCAGCCTCCGTCAGCTTCTTCTGGCTGTCATCCACCGGCCGCTTCTTCTTCGGCTGGGTGGGCAGCTTCTTCGGCTGGTCAGAGCTCGGCTATGCTCCACCTGCCGCGGCTAGCTCTGCTACCCCCTTGGCGGCCAGTTCCGCGGCTGCTTTTGCTGCAACCCTATTCATAATGGATCTGCGATCCATAACAAAGTCTGCATAGCAAAGGAAACAAACAAAGTTAGCAAAGAAAGAAAACAAAACGGGAACAAGGACGTTGAGGAGGGCATTACCACCGGCTTCGGCGGGCACGCCCAAATCCGGGCCATCAGCCTCCTCAAATGTGGTGGTCATCTTCGGCCATAACTCAACATCGTCCTCTGCATCCCCATACACGAAGTACCTCACGAAGCCGAGGGCAGCCATTTTGTACTCAGTGATATAATCTTTCACGCTCCTTGGCCCATCCTTAAGGAACGCCTCCACCCGAGCATCTAGGAACGCATTCTTCAGCACATCATGGAGATTGAACCTCCCGGTATGGCCGACGTAAGGAAACTCAGTCCCTTCTTCGCCCAGTGACACATAAACGAACTTACTCTTCCAACCATGGATGGACGAAGGAAGGTCGGTAAAAGACCTCATGTTCTTTACCTGCTGAAGGGTGGCATAGCTCGCGCAGTTTTGGTGGCTGCCTCGGCCTATCTGGTACAAGTTCATGAACTAGGCCGTCGTCGGCGCAATACCCAACTCGGAACAGCGAAGCAAGAACCCGATAATCAAGGAATAACTATTCAGGGTCAGCAAGGCCAGCGGCAGATCCACCATGTCCAAGTACTCTGTGACGAACGGATGGAGGGGAAACCTTAGCGCCTTGGCAAAACTCATGGGATACACTCCGAAATATCCGGCCGGAGGATTAAGCACATGATGTGTCGGCTTGCGCGCCCTAACCCTCCCAAACGACCCCACATACATCTGGGCGACCAAGTATTCAGCTGCGTTACTCTGCGGCCTGATAATATAAATGTTGGTAAGCTCCAAGTACGAGAAGCTTGGACCTTTCTTCAGCCGACACCTCTTCTTCAGCGGAGATTTCCCTTTGACAGCAGAAAGGGGACTGGGGCACAGAATGGTGGCCGATGTGGACGCTCCATCCACTGCACGTGATACTCCAACATCCTCACCCTGAGACGACGAGGCGGCTTCCTCGTCCGCACTCTCCTCGTCTCTCTTCTCCCCGGATCTGAAGGGACTCAATCTCCTTGCAACACTCTTCAACTACCCCGTAATCAAGGGACTTGGCGGATGGCTCATCATCATACGAGTAGTACTCGTCGTCCAGTGGTTTCACCATAACAACTACCTAAGGCCTAGAGGGGATTATATGGGATCTAAGCGTGGCTCGTTGACTAACACTAGATCAAAGCCTAAGGAAGCAAAGTATACAAGAAAACGGAGAAAGGTTGACGAAGTGACCTTTGAAGTTTTGAAGAAAGTGAAGAACATTGACGAACATCTTATCTCTGTAGAAAATCCGGCAACACTTCGTTAGCTCAAGTCGCAAATGAGCGCCTCACTTCGGAGGGGAGGGGTATTTATAGAACTCCCCCCAATGGTCACTACACGTGGCATCCCCTCAATGGCCACGCGAACGGTCACCACCCCAAGGGCCAATAAGGTGCCACCGTTTCAAAGATGGGCCAAGCCCACTTCGAGCACCATAAGCCCACTATCAAGGTAAGCCCTATGGTTCAACAGTCAAATGGGTTGCACCCACAACGGCCAAGACATTCAACGGCCACACTAAGGAGAGAATGAGAGATATGACCCTCCACGTTCACAGGTCACGACTACATCGGCCCTAGTAGCCAACAATTACTTCAACGGCTTGCCCCATGTCAGCATGCCACCTCAGCATCAAAGGCCCCAAGGTGTGCCCATATCGGCCCGACATGTTACCAACAACAGGGCTCTTTCAACGGCCACGGAAACAAAGTGGAAAAGAACCTAACAGCCATCGGCCCTCGTATAAAATCCTGATGATAACTTCTTGAAAGCGACCTGCGTCCAACGGTTCTCCCACAGGGTTACCTTGGTCAGGAATCGCCAAGGGGTTAGATTCAGGGGAATACGAGAATCCCGCTTCGGCATGGGGTTGTACCTTACTTTTTCACCCCTCACTCACTTTTCAGCCTGAAGCAGTGGGGGACTGAGGGACTACACCGGCCTCTAAACGCACACAAGGACAAAATTGAAAATCCAAAAACGCACAAGTATACAACTACAACAACACAACAACACCGTATCGTCTATGCACCATAACGTCCAGGGCCTGGTGGTGCACCCTCGGACGCAACAAAGTAAGCAAACAAGGAAGCAAAGCTCACCTTCCAGAACGTGACACGCGTCGTCCCTCGACACGTGGCACTCAACGGCCTTGGGTCATGTTGTGACACCGCTCCCGGATGTACTTGAATTTGAAATTTGATATGTAATTGAATTTCCTATCGGATAAAAAAATTGTGTAACAGATGGGTATATTTAATTAATGCGCGATTAATTAAATTATTTATCGGGTCCATAATATTGAGAATGTGCTACTAAATAATTAGTTGGGTCATTGTAATAATTATAGAAGCCCAATAAAATGTCAACCAAGGTTGAGGAAAACGTTTGGACAAACAAGTGCTATTTTGACCCAACCTGCCAGAAGTAGCGGGAATAATTGGGAGAGACTTTCTACACCCACTTGGGGTATCCTACACATCAAATATCCCCAAATAATTGGGAGTGGAACAAAAATAGAAGGGAATGGGCGGATGAATGGAGGGAAGTCTTCTAAAGACAAAGCCACACCCCCAAGACCCTACCCCTTTGTTGCATTAGTTGACTTAGAGGAGTAGGAGTGCTCCCCTATCCTTTGCATTCATTCAGTCGACACAAGAGGAGAGAGAGCTCCAGGAAACCAAACTCTCAAGGTCTCAGTTTGAGGAAGAAGAAGCTAGGAAAATCTAAGGAGAAAAGCTAGGCTTGAGGTAAGAACACCAAATAACTCTTTAACTAGTTTTATTGTGTATGATTTGTAAGAAATCATATGGTGGATTAAACATGATGTTCTACACGTTTAAAAGTGTAGAATATTGATATAAAGTGGTGGTATTTAACTTAGAAGAGTTGGTGAATCGATAAGAGTCGAAATCGCCAGAAACCGCCAAGAAAAACAGGCTGCTCGAACCTGCAGAACACGAACATCGGGCGGCTTTTGGTTGCTGTCCAGTTTTTTCGTTTCAATCGGCCTAGAATGGGGATTGTTCGAAGGGCTTCGCAAAGGCATCTAGTTAAGCACTCTGTAAGGTGACGATGACCGACTATATTGCTTATAATTAGTGAGTTAATTTCATGAGATTACCTAAGGTAATTAAATGTGTTTTTATGGATTGTTAATGATTAATAATGCCTAAGAATGAGAAGACTATGTCTGTAAGGAAAAGAGCATGATATACAAATTTAAGGGTAAATTGTGTATAATCATGTGTTATGAGTATGATTACTTGATTATGGGATTAACTATGAAATGTATGTTGAAATATACTTTTTACTTCATATAAGAGTATATGAATGATTAAAAGTGATATTTTGTATATTTATATAAAGATGATATTTTCAATGGAAAATCAATTGGGAATTTTATAAATGACCATGAATGAAGAACTTGGCTTGGTTGGAATTAATTGAACTAGTAATAATATACTAGTTGGGCATTTAAGTGAAATGTTGCTAAAATTGATCCTAAGGTTGGATTGTGAAATGTTATGTCTGAAGTAGTCTTAAAAGATACTTTAAGGTAGGAAAGTATGAACTTTAAGTTATACTAGGGGTAGGCCTTAAGGGATACCCAAGATAAATTGAATAATAAATTGATCCTAGGTATAGGATTGGCCTATGGGCGTATACGGTAGCCTTTGAGGATAGCCGGTTGAATTATGGGAATAAGTAAGGACCATGGCCCTTCTCGACTCTAGAAAGCAGGGTTGGATAGCATGGACTTGCATCGTGATCACGGGCTAGGGTGGAATCCGAACGGAGACCTAACTAGGCTCCGACAACGGTAACACATAAGATAGGACCCCGAAGGGCCTTACCTTCCTACGGGATGATGGGTATGAGTCCAGGGGCGGGATGTTGAAATCCGAAACGAGAGCCTTATGAGGTCTCAGACAGCGGTAGCAAATCCCATAAAAATAATAAGACCCACGGGTTGGGTTGTACAAATGATAAATGAAAAGGAATATATAAGAAGGGCCGTGTGCCGACAAATAAATAAATTGACTCATTATAGAGATAATAAGTGGGAAATATAGATTATTATTTATATTATGATATCACCCTATTTTGAGGGTCTTAAAACTAAAACGTTGATTATACTCGGTATAGTTGTCATTGTACTTGTCAAATGCTTCCAAGTACTGACATCCCTTTCACGGGGGAGGCCACCTCACAGTTTCAGGTAGAACTTGAAGGTTGCTACCATCACCCGTGGCTTCGCGAAGATCAAGGAGAGAAGACGTGGTGTGTGCTTCCTCCATTCTGTTTTAAAAACACTTACGTTAATGCTCAAGGATATTATTTTATGAATAATTATTTTGGAGGCTTGTATGTCTGATTATGCCAAGTGTGGCTTGAACACTTGTATGAATGCTTCCATTGTTTTAAATGAATGTTTTACATTATGTTTGTTTATGGATGTACTATGTGTGAATGGTATTCAAGACGCCTTGTATAGTATGGATGTGTTGGATTGTCGTTGACTATTCGTACTGTACGGCGGGTTGTTGACGTGTCCGGGTAGGTCCAGGCGTGACAATTTAATTGGTAGCAAAGCCTTAGTCTGTAAACATCATAATGAAGCTTCAATTTTTTTTGTAAAATGAATTTGAAAACCATGAGCATAAGAAGTTTTGTACTTATAGAACTTTTGGTGCTTGAGTTGCAATGTCTCTAATTGTTAAGATGGTACCCTTAACAATTGGTATGGTGGTGACTTAAGCCAAGGGATATCTTTAAGTGCCTATCCGTCAATTGACATTTGATACGAGTCTAATGACTCATTCTCAATTTCTTTCAGAAATGGAACGTACCGGTAAAGTTACTCGAAGAAACCCGACTAGCCAGGCACCAGGGAGGTCCCAACATGGCAGTCGGGGGGCATCGAGGGTGTCCTGGGGACAGGGCCGTGCAGGCCACTCGCTGACCGTAAGTGACGGTGTAACACTTGAGATTTAATTTAAACGGATTAATAGTACTACTGATACCAACAAGATGCATCTCCTTTTAAGGGAGCTCA